TCCTGTCCACACTGCAGGTCCCGCTTGGTTTGCTCCTCTTCAGGGTTGAGGGCTGAACCCAGGGGCTCTACCACTGGGCTACATCACCAGCCCTTCTCCTTTCTTTCTTTGGAGACAGGGTCTGGCTAAGTTGCCTCGGCTGGTCTTGAAGGTGAGAGCCTCCTGCCTCAGCCTCCCCAGGAGCTGGGATTACAGGGGTGGCCACTGTGCCTGGCCAGGGTCCCTCCTTCTGCAAGATGAATCTGAGGTGAAGTGACCTGTCGTGGATGCGGGAAGGTCACCAAGACCAGAGCCCAGGGCTCACTGAGTCCCCCCTGTGTCAGCCAGGGAATGCCATGAGGGGAGGGCCCCAGGGTTCTGCTGCCACCGCACACACCCTCGGGGCTCTGTACACGGGGGGCTGCACCCTCCATCCGGCTCATTTCCTGCCAGGTGAAATGTGCGAGTGGCTCCCCTGGACAGCGGCCCTGTCCTGATGATGCCCTGGGGAACGGACACACTGTTACTCAGCAACTTCCAACAATAGTGACATTTCATCTGCTCCACTGCAGAGCAGCCACGCTCAGTGGCCAGGAAAGGACTGGTGGGTGCTCTGTGCCAAGTTCCCCGGGGGCCTGCCCCGAGCAGTATAAAGGGCAGGGAGTGAGGAAGCAGCACAGCCACTCCAGCCCAGAGAGCCCGCGCCCAGCAGCCGCGAGCACAGACCCCGGCATGAAGACCCTGCTCCTGACCCTGGGCCTCAGCCTCCTCTCTGCCCTGCGGGCCCAGACGCTCCCAGTCGGGGATGAGGAGACCCAGGATGTGAGGCTCAGATGGGCGGAGGGCTGCGGGGGCAGGGAGGGCCAAGATGGCTGGGTGCAGACCCCATCCCTCCCCCATGAAGGAGACCCTCGTATCGACACCAGGCCTTGAACCCCTGCCCCAAGGAGACATCACACGGCGCAGGGGGGTCTGGGCCAGATGGGGCTGCAGAGGGCTGGTGGAAGCAGGGGACACATCTGCCCTGGGAGCCAGCGCCTGGGTCCTGGCCAAGCTGTGGGAGCTGGGATCCGGCTCTCGGGGGCCTGGTGGGAGTGGGGGTGAGCTCGGGTGGGGTAGGGGCAGAGGATGCTCCAGGTCCCCGGTCCTTGGAGCATAGAGTCCAGGGTAGCTGAGGAGGGGAGGCCCTGGAGGTGGGCCTGAGCCCTGATGGTCCGGTGCCTTCTGCAGGCGTCAGGCACGTGGTACCTGAAGGCCACGGCAGCAGACAAGGAGATTCCCTGGAAGAAGCTGGAGTCTGTGACTGTGACCCCCATGACCATCAAGACCCTGGCAGGGGGCCACCTGGAAGTCACCTTCACCGTCCTGTGAGTGTCTGCGGGCCGCATGGTCCTCCCTTTCCACGGAGGACAGCAGGGCTGGGTGGGGTGCAGACCATGCCGGGGGCCTACTCGGCCCTCAGCACCCAGCACCTGGAGTCTTATGGCGACTCTGCCAGGGGGTTCCTCCCAGGCAGCCTGACATCCCCTGGCAGCCAGTGAGGGGGTCGGAGGACACAGTTCTGGCCACTGTGGGCCCAAAGGCTCTTCGTGGGACACAGAGGGCCACTGGTGCCTGGACCAGTTCAGGGTGCTCAGCGTCTGTGAACACACCTCACTTCCTGTGTGGAGAGGCCTGCTGCTCCTGGGCCTGTCTGCGGCCCTCCTGCCAGGCCAGGCCCCGTGGCTGCCCTGAGCAGGGCGGCCTTGCCCACGGAGCTTCTGTCCTCCAGGATGGGAGGCGAGTGTCGCGAGATCAGCACTGTGCTGGAGAAGACCGCCGAGCCGGGCAGATACACAGCCCGTGAGTGCTGGGCCCGTTCAGGGCAGCTCCGGCCACCCATGGGCACGAGGGGCCAGCCGGCAGCTTCTCAGGGTGGCCTTGGGCCTGAGGCTCTCCTTTCTGGCCCTACTACATACCCAGCCTCCACCCCACAGAGTCCAACTCCCGACCCCAGTGTTGCTGAGGCTGGTGGATGAGGCCTGGGGGTCTCTGCCCAGGGCTCCCTCTTTGGCCACAGCTGACCCCTGGCATTGGTCAGGGCCAGGACTCTACTTGGCTGGGGTTGAGGGTGGATTGTGCTGCCCCAGCTCCAACCTCTGCCAGTCTCATGCCCCAGACCTCCCTGTGACTCACCAGCTTGACATGTGCCATCTCTTGGGTGCATTGGGTTCCTGGGAAGTGGCCCCAAGGCCTGGTGCCAGGCCAGGTGGGGACCCAGGTCAGGGAGCCTGGGAGGGGAGAGGGGGAGTTACTGAGGGGTGTTGTGGGCTGGAGTCAGCCATCCTGGGTCTTCAGTGGAGGATCAGGGCCACTCCCCAACTCGTCCATTGTCCCTCTGCAGATGGGGGCAAGCATGTGGTGCAGGTCCTTAAGTCCCAGGACGAGGACCACTACATCCTCTACTGTGAGGGGGACATGCACGGGCAACAGATCCGAATGGCAAAGCTTGTGGGTGAGTCACAGTGTCTGGTGGCTCCAGCCTTGGTCCCTCTCCTTTCTCCCTGTGCCCCCTGCCCCTCCCCTAGGAGGAGCCACCAGGATCCAAGGACCTGGCTACCTTGTCCAGATGATGGGTTTCCTAGAGGAAGCCCGAGTCCCACCTCAGAGCTCAGGACTGGGGATGGCCCGTCCCTGCATGGGAACGCAGGAAGGAGGAGGTGCTGTGGGCGCAGGGCCACCAGTGTCATGAATGTCACAGGATGAGTCGAGGACTCATTGGGGAAAACCTGGCAGGGCCATTTGTGGGTACCTGTGGGGAGTCCAGCAGGGGTCAGGGAAGGACGTGGATGGGGAGCCTGCGTGGGAAGTCCAACTCGGAGCAGACACTGGGTGTCAGTCCAATCTGACTTGAAGACAAGGCCTGGCGTCCCCCAGCTCCCCCACAGCCAGGTGCATGGGAACACAGAGCAGTGGACAGCAGGGCTGTGCCTGAGCCTGGGGGAGCTCCTCCAGGGCAGAGTTGGTCCTGCCACTCCCTGTCCTGCCCCGGGAGAGGCTGGGTGGCTTTAGGGAGAGCAGCTCTGGGCCTTCTGGGTCGGCTGCCCTGGGCGCCCTGTGGATGCTCACACCCCCTGCCTGGTCCTCCTCTCCTATCTGGGCTCTGCCCCAGCCCCAGGCCTCTGGGTCCAGCCTCCACGTTGAGGTCTCCCTCCCCAGCACTGCGCTGGTCAGTCCTCCAGGCTGGGAAGGAGATGCCAGCAGCTCCCAGCTCTGCCCCCACAGTCCTGTCTCCCTTGGCCTCTCCTACAGGCAGGTACCCTGAAGTCAACGTAGACGCCCTGCAGGAGTTTGAGCAGGTCGCAGCAGCCAGAGGCCTCAACGCAGACAGCATCTTCATCCCCAAGCAAAGGGGTAGGGAGAGGGCTCTGCAGGGCTCTCCCCGCCCCAGGAGCTCCAGCCAAGGACGGTTACAAGAGCCAGCTGCATGGATCCTGGCTTTGTCCTTTGAGGGGTGGTGGGAAGTGCTGGCCGAGGGCGGGGCCCTGGGTCCCGATGGAATCCCAGGCTCTTCTGAATCGTGTTTTTCTTTCTTCCACAGAAGCCTGCTCTCCAGAGAGTGATTAGGGTAAGAGACCAGTTTCAGGGGTTAGGAGGACCTCCCAGTCCTGGGGGTGGAGTGATGGGACTTCAGGGGACACCACCCCTGCTTCTAGGTGGACAGGAGAGCCACCACCTGGCCGGGCAGGTGTGCTCTGCCCCAGGCGTGGCCAGTCCTCGGGTGTTGTCTTCAGGTTTCTCTAGGATGTCATCTGGGCAGTGAGGGAACCCGCCATGGTGACCGCTCCTGGGTGGGGCTGCTGGTGGAGACCGTGGCCCTCTCCCCCAACCCCTCAGAGTGCTTGCCAGAAGGTGGGAAGTCCCTCAGCACCTCTCTGGCCCTCAGTGGTGACACCATGTGTCCCATGAGTTGCTTTGAAGGTGTGGCAGCCATGCCTGGGGACTTCAGAATCCCTGGTCCCTCGTGCTGTGTGATGTAGGGAGCTACAGGTCAGAGACTGCCCAAGGTCCCCTGCCCAGGTGTGGGCGGAGCCAGAGTCACACAGCATCCTGTCCTTCCCTGCCCTCCACTGGCCTGAAGTCACCGTCCCTCCTCCCACACAGAAGAGGAGCTCTGGGCAACCTGCTCTGGCCTCGCGGATGGAGCCCCACTACTGCAGTCCTCCCTTGGCCCACCTCCTGGGCTCACTGACCTCCTCTTGTTCCCAGGGCAGGGACACCATGCTCTGCAGGATCCCCGGGTGGCACCAGCAGGACCTCTGGCCTGGGGGACATGGAGGGTGGCCCACCTGGGCCCAGCTGGCTCCCCCCACTGCCCTTCCCCCTCGTCCACCCCACCTTCCTGATTCTCCATAAAGAGCTTC